TATAGACCCTCCAGACTAGTTTCTTTTTGCTTTTGTTTTGGGCTGTTTAACAAAAAAAAATGCTACTTAAATACTACTTGGTAAATTTTTTTATTTATTTTTTGGTGAAAGTTGTGAGATAGGTAAGCTTATATATATTTTTTAGTTAGTTGTATGCATCCTTTAATTATTAGGAATTTTAACGAAAAACTTCCGGTATTGTTTACTTTAACAAAAAATTACATTTTTACACTACAAAGTCAAGCATGATATTATTCACTCTACATTTTATTTTGTTTTTATCGTTAAAACTCAAAAGTTTTAAATTATTTCCATTAATTTTCTTTTAATTATAGTTGGACTTGGAACTCCACACAAGAGAAGGCAAATCATCATGCAAACGTAATAACTTTGCTTTATTAACGAGTTATAAGATTCACTTGCATCGATGGTCGTAAATGACTCATTGCATCGTAAGGAAGTCACTCACTTGTGTGTGAGTGATTGGTTGTGCATATTCCTTCTCAAAAGAACAACTTTAAAATCTCATTTTGACACTAATAACAGCAATACTACTAAATATTGGAAGTTAAATTTGTGGTAAAAAAAGGCTAAAATATCTTGTGAGTCTTTCAGGTCCTTAGAAGGGGTGGATAACCGTGACTTATCATAAGTTGTTCTCAATTTTTTTTTTATATTATTTATATCCTTTTTTTATTGTTGTATTTCAGTATACTAACATAAAAAGAAATTTATCACAAATAATGGCGAATTAAATAGCGACACGTAGACAATAGCTGCTCCCTCCCGAACCATCTAAAACCCTAAACCCCGAACCGGTTGTCAGAAACAGAACACAAATCCTAAAGCTCTCCAACCATGGCGATCAATAGCGATGCCCTGAATTCCCTGAAAGCCACAGAACCGACGCAGCTACTTGCGCCGAACCCGGCCCTCTCTCAAACGGCTCGAGCCGCCCTGCAGGGCATCTTCTCCTCCCTCAGGCCCTTCACGCCCAAGTCGCCGTTCGACCAGCTCCTGGTCGACGGATTCGACGCAGAGCAGATATGGCAGCAAATCGACCTCCAATCTCAGCCCCTCATCTCGACCCTCCGCCGCGATTTGAAGCGGTTTGAGAAGAACCCGGAGGAGATTAAGACGCTGAAGGTGGTCGTGGAAGGGGAGGAGAAGGTTCTGGAAGCTCAGAGCCAGGGTTTGAAGGCTGAAATTGGGGGCTTTGACGAGGAATTGGATGGATTTGACGACGACATTGACGAGGAGGAGGAGGAGGAAGAAGGTGAAGGGAGTGAGAGTGAGGAGAGAGATGGAGAGGAAGAAGAGGAGAGAGAGGAAAGTGAAAGTGAAAGTGAAGGGGAAGATAATAATGCGATAGAGGACGGGTTTTTCAAGATAAAGGATTTGAAGAAGTCTTTGGAGGAAAGTGAAGCAAGGGAATATGGGCTAGATAAGACTGATAAGAAGAAAAAGAAGAGAAGGGATGACGACGACGACGAGGAGGAGGATGAAGAAGATGAGGGGGTGAGGATGTGCTCGAATTTTTATGTTGGATAGTTTGTATGGTTTTTGGTCTGAGAATTTTGCTGATTTTGAAAGCTTTTGTCTTTTTTTTTTCGGTTTCTAACTCGATTCATTTCGTCATTTTAGCTTGGAGACTTAGACATTGACGATGATGAGGATGACAAAGACAAGTTTGCAAGGTGCTACATTTATCATTTGTCGAATTGCTTCGTTTTCGTTTCCATGTTTATTGTACAATTGTTGATTATATGACTATGGATCAATCAGTAATTGATTGCAAATTTAGGGTTCATCTGCATTTGTTTCTCCGGTATACCGTATATGGTGTATATTTCTTTTTAATCAGTTGTCTGTGCATCCATTATATGTGATTCATCTGTGGATATGTATTGTGGGAGTGCATGTATCCATTAGTATATGCTTAAGCTTAACTTTTGCTTGTGTGCGACAGATATGAAGACTTCTATGGAGGAAAAAAGGAAAAGCGTTCTACACGAAGATCAAAATTGATTGATGAATCAGAAGATTTGGGGACAAACGACGGAGAAGAAGATGAACAAGACGAGGAGGAAGATGATCAAGATGAAGATGATCAAGAAGAAGGAGATGAAGATGAACAAGAAGATGAGAAGGTACTTGCAAACCATGTAGTGTAACGGAATTTGAGAGCATGGTCTTGCAGTTGTAGATTCTCCATATTTTCAAAAGGAGTTTCATCTCATTTGTTTTCATATTTTTAATATAGAAGCAAACAACTCTTTCGACCCATGAAAAAAAGCTTAAGAAGCTTCAATCCCAAATAGAAGAGATGGAAAAAGCAAATTTGGAGCCAAAAAGCTGGATCATGCAGGGAGAGGTAACTTTTCTGTTTCTGAAGTTCTTCTTTTGCTGGACAATAGTCTTGTTAGTTATGTCATGATACCATGTAACTTTAAGTGGATTACATATAACAATTGTGGCTTTGGGAAACAGGTAACTGCAGCGACAAGGCCAAAGAACAGTGCGCTAGAAGTTGATCTGGATTTTGAGCACAATGTTAGACCTCCCCCTGTAATCACAGAGGAGGTTACAGCATCAATTGAGGATATAATCAAGAAAAGGATTGAGGAGGTAAACAACATCTTGCGTGAATACATTCCGAGGATTTGTTTGTTTATCATATTTTCTTATCTAAAATGTTCAGTTCAAAGTTAGCTATATTTTATGAACCGCATTTTGATCGATTACCTCTATTGGAAACTTTTTCGACAGTTTATATTGATCCCTATAAGTCAGAAAAGAAATTTAATTCTCATGTTTTATTCGCAGGCAATTTTTATTCCTTCTGTCACCATTTGATTTATATTGTTGCTTGTTTCTTCTAAATATGTGTGTGTGTGTGTAGAATACAACCTGTTCTAAATTTGCACTTAATGTCTTTTATAGGGGCGGTTTGATGATGTTCAAAAAGCTCCTACTTTACCCTCTAAAGCACCAAGAGAACTTAAAGAGTTGGTAAGCATTATTTTTTGCTATATTTGCATTCTAATTTCGACCCATTGTTTCTTAAATGAAGCAACTTGGTCAATTTGTCTGATCTAGTATTGCTGGCTTTTCGTTAAAACTCCCTTTTGTTTAATGTATAGGACGAGAACAAGAGCAAGAAGGGTCTAGCTGATGTCTATGAGGTATGGTTCTCCTGATGCAAAATGCATCACTTAATAAGCTGCCAACATTCTTCCAAAATTTGATCTCCTTAAGCTGGATTTCCGTCCATCTTATCATCTAATTGAGATACATTACAATCTTTTGTTTGTCAATTTTCTGCAGGAAGAGTATGTTCAAAAGACAAATTTGGCTTCTGCTCCGTTTTCATTAACAGACAAACAGAAGGACGAGGTGCATGCTTTTATCTTTGTTCTTCTATCTTTTGCTGTTTCATTTGTGTTAATAGTCGAAAATTAATTTCCTTGTATGCACACGTGTGTATACTAATATATGTATGTGTTTGTGTGAGTATATTTTGAGATTTTGTTCTATGTTCCTAAAGGTGCTAATTCACTAACCTTGTGGTCATTATCTTTTATCAGGCAAGCAAGCTGTTCAAGAAACTTTGCTTGAAGTTGGATGCTCTCTCTCATTTCCACTTCAGTCCAAAACCTGTATGCTTCTGAGTCATACAATTTATATATTTATATGCATGCATTGTATACTTTTGTAGTTTGTTAATTGCCAGGTTTGATATACGTTATGTGGCATAGGTTATCGAGGATATGTCGGTACAAGCCAATGTCCCTGCTCTAGCAATGGAAGAGGTAATGTGAACTCTACAGTTTCTTTATAAAAAAAAAAGTTCTCATGAATCCTTTGAAAATACTACTTTTTCTACTCTAAAGTTGACAATCATAACTGAAGTGTGTGATGTCTCTTCACTGGGCAGATTGCACCTGTGGCCGTGTCCGATGCAGCAATGCTAGCTCCTGAGGAAGTGTTTTCCGGCAAAGGTGACATCAAAGAAGAAGCAGAGCTTACACAGGCAGAGAGAAAGCGGAGGAGAGCTAACAAGAAAAGGAAATTTAAAGGTAAGCTTGACAGCAAAAGTTAGATTACCCTCTCCCTTTTCTTTTCTTCTTCTGTTTTATGGGGAGTAAAAGGGGTGATAGGTAAGAGTTATGGCCTTACAGGAGCTCAAACCTAGGCATGCCCCACAAAAGGGGTAGTTCGGAACCACTAGCGTCCCCATGCATATCCTGGGGGTACTAGTGGTTAGGAACATCCGACTCTTTAGGCCAGATGATAGCTTAGTTCCACACAAACTGAATAATCATCTGGTCAAGTGACTTACTGTGGGAAATTGTGTCTAGGATTGTTTTCCAGTTGGACGTGTTGCAGCAATTGTTTTACTCTTGTAATGTATATCTTCTTTGTTCATCCCACTTTTGTTACCAATATTCACCTTTAATTGTGGACAATATTACAGCTAGGGAAGTAAAGAGGGCGATGAAGAAGCCCCGGGGCAGCCTAGAGGATGTGAAATAAGCCGTTATACAGCAAGGTGCTCTCAACAAACGAATGAAATTGCTTTTGTAGTTTTCTTGTTGCTTTTTCAGCTCTAACCGTTCTGTACATTGCAGCCAAGGAAGGATAAGGGAAATGTTGGTTAACTCAACCCAGGCCGTGATCGCGACTCATTGATTGATTAGAGAAGAGAAGAAAGAAGAAAAGGGTTAGGGGGAGTGAGCAAAAACGGTGCCATGAGTCCCCTGGTTGTAACGACTACCCATCTGCTAAACAATTTCTAAGTTGTCGAATTTGGATTGCGTGAATATTGCAAACGATGAATAAGACCGACGGACGTTGGAGTTTCGGTTTCAGTGCAAACGATCAATAAGACCGGGGAGTGTGATTTTTAGGATGGTTTGTGATTTTGTTTGTACCTTCTTTAGCTTAAGACTGGTAGAAATAGTTCTTTGTTTTCACATTTTCACTTGTTTGGTACTGGGATGGAACGGAACGTAGTGGGACGGAATGCGCATGTCCAACATTTGGTGCGCCAAAGGTAATGGAACGCGTTATCTCACTGAATGAAATTTGGTTGAATTTTTGTTTCATCTCATCCCTTGTAACGACTCGTTCTATCTTTGTGGGACACAAAATTATAAAATTTTAAGACAAAAATATCTTTTATCTTTTTTAGTATTTACACCATCCAAATTATAAAGAACTAGGATTCTCTTTCATCTTCTTTTCATTCCCTTTTATTCATTTATCTTACATTTTTTATTTTATCTTTTTTTTATATAAAATTAATATAAAATGTTAATATAGTTTAATCGTGACCGTTCAAATAGGATAGAGGGAATGGATAGGATGAAGAAAAAAGGGAAAAAGGATCCTACTCCAATCATAAAACAAACCCTAATCCCCATCTTCTCTGCCGCTGCCTTTCTTTACCCGTAGCCTTCCTCCTCATCCTCTACTCATCCTCCTCTCCCGTAGCCGCCGACTGCACCCAGCCAGCAGGCAGCAGCAGGGAGCCACTTCTGTCGCGCTGCAGATTTACCCAGATTTACCCAGGTATATCAAATTTTTGTTCTGCTCGTTTTGTTTCATTGTTTTGCGTTTCGGTTGAAGGTTTTCTGGGTTTCTGCTATATCTAGGAACCGGCGATTCAAGGTCTAGTTAGTATCCCCCCACTAGGACCAGACAAAAACCCACCTCCCAACTCTGAACCATCCATCTTGATCTTCTCACACTCAATCACAATGCCCTAATATCCAAGTTAGTTTTTAACAAAAAGCAAGAGAAAATCGGAAACTAAAAGCTTCGATCCTGAAAATCAACTCAAACCCCATTTACAGACAGTTGGCACATCTCAGCTGTCGACTAAGAACAGATTAGAGAACAAAAAATTCCCGTAACCAAGTCTGATGCAACTTGTTGGTTTACCAGAGAGGCTTTTTCCACCACTAGCACCCAAAACAATCTCGCAGTTTCTTTCACACTCCTCCATTTTCTCACCAACCAAACAGATGGTATCTCGAGATACCCATAATGCCCAATAGACCAACTAATGCCAATCACTCGATGCCTATTCAGGGATATGTCTCGAAACCCAAAACTTGTGACTGAATGTAGGCCGAACCCAGAAACTCCAAAAAGATCCAATCTTGATGTTTACCAAGTTGTGGAAATTTTCCTAGAAAGTTGAACAAGGAGTCATAACACTAATTGATCCAAAGTCCAAACGTGAAGAGTAGATTAATCCAAATTCCAATATAGACTCCATATCAAAGAAAAAGCATAGATTTTTGGAAGCACATATACCTTTTCAAGATCGAACATGAGCACTTCAACCAATCAATGAAGAGAGCTTGAACTGAGGTTTGAGAGAGGTTTCAGCGATGAGTTAAAAGTGGTGACCGGTTTTAGACTGTTTTGAGTTTGAATCTAACGAGTTAAAAGTAGACTGTATGAAGAACTCACCACTGTTTATTACATTGACTGTCTGTATCAAGTAGAATTTACTTGATACGAGTTGTATCCTATATCTTTTTTACTCTCTTTCATCTAGTCTTGTGTTCATCTCTCTGTAATCTTCACTCAAAAGAAACATGAATTTTTCCTACCTCCTTTTTGCCGCGTCCTCTTATTACATGAATGTTGAATGCCATCGTCAATATCTAAGTATCATCGTATAAGAAAATAAAAAGATTTACTGCATTTTAGATCCTCAATTTGAGAAAATTTCAAAATTGACCACGAAGTTTTTATTTATTTTTCATTAATTTCCGTTTCCTAATTGCTCTAGGGTTGGAAATTCCTAAATATTTCCTGATTGCTCTAGGATCTTATAATTCCTAATTGCTCTAGGGTTTGGAAATTCCTAAATATTTCCTGATTGCTCTAGGAGTTTAGTATTATAAATCAATCTCCAAAATTGCCATTGGGTCTAGGTCGCTCAACATTTTGCTCAAAATTCACAGGTTCATTAAAATTGCGAAGAAGATGACGGTGCAGGAGAAGGAAAACAATGAGGGTTGGTTTTTGTTTATGCAGATGGATTTGGAGCTACTTGCTGCAAGGTCGGTTACAGTGAGGCCTGAGTTTCAAGTCGTGAACAAGTATCGACTCCCAGATGGCAATACAACAGCCCCAATGGATCTGGCCTATACGGGGTGGATGACTGTTTGTACATGTTATGCGGTAAATGGTTCGAGGGTAGTAGCTGGAACGATAAAACCCCTGGGAAGCAACAGCAGTGGGGTAACCTCCAAGTTTATGAGTGTGAGCACGAGGTTGGTGATGGTTTGGAGACCAATCCTGTCCTCGTTTGCAAAAGAAGCGACATTCCGAGTATGATGGGTCACAAAATCAACCTTATTGTGATAAACATTGACTGCAAAATCTATGTCTTGGCCAGAACTTTTATCGGAGTCGTGGAAGAACACTAACCACCTCTTTTCAAGGTTTTTGATCCCGACACTAGGTCGTGGTGGGTTATGCCAAACATTCCCTCCATTGGCTGTCATTTAAATGTTACCTATATCTATAAACATTTTTCTTGGGCCAACAAGATTGTTGTAACATCCATGTCTCATGACCGTGTCTGAATAGGCATGGTCACGAGAGACGGATATTACAACGATCTTGTTGCCCCAAGAAAAGTGTTTATAGATATTGATAGTGTTTAAAGGACCGTCAATGAGGGGAATGTTCGGTAGAACCCTTCACGACCCATTGTCGGGATCAAAAACCTTGAAAAGAGGCGGCCAGTGTTCTTTCACGACTCCGGTAAACATCCTGGCCAAGACATAGATTTTGCGATCAATGTTTATCAAAATAGGGTTGATTTTGTGACCCATCATACTCGGAATGTCGCTTTTCTTGAAAACGAGGATATGATCGATCTTCGAACTATCACCAATCTCGAGCTCATACTAATAAATTTGGAGGTTACCCTACTGCTGCTTACCAGTGCTTTTACCGTTCCAGTTGCTACCCTCGAACCATTTACCGCCTAGCATGTATAAACGGTCATCCACCGTCGTATAGGCTAGATCCATTGGCGCTGTTATACTGCCATCTGGGAGTCGATATTTGTTCACGACTTGAAACTTGGGCCTCGCCGTAACCGGCCTTCCAGGAATACGAGCAATAATCTCCTGATATCGAGATGCAGTAGCTCCGAATCCATTTGCATAAACAAAAACCAGCCATTGTTCTTTACAGACGGTCTTTTCTCGAGAATAAGGGTCTCACAAAAGAAGAGATTGATGAAGCATTTTGGTGTGATTCTTGGTGTTCCAAGCTAATTGTCATTGTTTGTTTGCAAATTTCAGGACCCACCTTCAGGTATGCAAGCAACTACTGGAAATCAATGTAACGCCGTAAAAAAATCCTGGTATTTTGGTTTTGAACTGAGTTTGTCAAGTTGTTGGTTTTATAATGGAACATTAAGAATATAAATCAAAATTCTCACAAAATAACTAATAATTTATAACTAAGAATAAGGTAAAATATAAAGTATAAAAGGTAAAATATATAGTATAATATCGACTCATCAGTGGTTCGCTTGCTACGGATTGTAGTCAAACCGCGGAGAGAAAAAAAAGAAGGTGGCCACCGGTATTAATAGGAGGGTGGAGATGGTGTTTATCGGCAGTCGCTATGAGGAAGGAGCTGGGCAAGGAGGACAAGGAAGAGAGGGGAAGGGGGATGGTGTTTAATTATTTATACTTATCCAACAAGAAAAATTGTATCTAAACCTTTTTTATTTGTTTTTAATCTACATGTGGCAAAGTTGGGATCCACGCCTTCATCGCCTAACGATTAATTTATCAGATTTTCTTATGGATGCATGACATTGCAACTAAATCGTAAGTTTGTTTATGAGGTTGCAACGTTTTAAAGATGATGCATCGGTTTGTAATTGCCCTTAAACTTGAGAGTGCCAAATATAATTTACCTTTTGAAATATAACAAACCAACACCTTAAAGGTAGTTTATGAAGAAAGCTGAAGTTCCACTATAATTTACCCACCATTCGAAACTGCAATGCTCCAGCAGGAGTTCCGCCAACTAAAGCATGTGCCGCCATAGCCTACAATCGCAGCACTAGTAAAAGAACACTAGTAACAAAGAAAACTTGATGTTGAAGCAATTGAAGCAAAGTATGAAAATAACTTGGATAAGCTAAGCCTTTATATTCTTGGTGATGTTATTCATACACCCATTTTTACCTTTCACACGCATCTCAATTTTCGATAGTCATCAACTAAATTGAAGATTAATAGACAAAAATTAACAAGGGTATATACGGGGAGTGCAATATCTAACGTAAGTATCATCGAATAAAAAAATAAAAATACTTATTGCATTTTAGACCCTCAATTTGAGAAAGTTTCAAAATTGACCATGAAGTTTTTATTTTTCCCCATTAATTTTCGTTTCCTAATTGCTCTGGGGTTTGGAAATAAGGAGAAGAAATCTCATCCCTCTCAATCCTAGAAATTGAGGGATTCCTAAATATTTCCTGATTGCTCTAGGGCTTTAGTATTATAAATTGATCTCCACACTGCCGCTGGGTCTAGGTTTAGGTCGCTCAACATATTGATCAGAATTCATAGGGTCATTAAAATTGCGAAGAAGATGGGGGTGTAGGAGAAGGAGAACAATAAGGGTTGGTTTTTGTTTATGCAGATGGATTTGGAGCTACATCATCACGATATGAGGAGATTATTGCCCGTCATTCCTGCAAGGCCAGCTATGGCGAGGCCCGAGTTTCAAGTCGTGAACAAGTATCGACTCCCAGATGGCAGTATAAAAGTGCCAATGGATCTGGCCTATACGATGGTGGATGACCGTTTATACATGCTAGGCGATAAATGGTTCGAGGGTGGTAGCTGGAACAGTAAAAGCACTGGAAGCAGCAACATCAGTGGGGTAACCTCCAAGTTTATGAGTGTGAGCTTGAGGTCGGTGATGGTCCAGAGACCGATTTTGTCCTCATTTGCAAGAAAATCAACATTCCAAGTATGACGGGTCACAAAATCAACCTTAAGGTGATCAACATTGACCGCAAAATCTATGTCTTGGCCAAGACATTTAACGGAGTCGTGGAAGAACACTGGTCACCTCTTTTCGAGGTTTTTTATCCTGACATTGGGACGTGGAGGGTTCTGCCGAACATTCCCTCCATTGGTGGTCCTTTAAATGCTACCTATATCTATAAACATTTTTCTTGAGGCAACATGATCGTTGTAACATCCATGTCTCGTGACCATGCATGTTTAGCCCATTTCTTTTACTTTTTCGACACGATCCAGGAGAACTGGGAGGATGCAAGTGCGATCGGAGTCTGAGGTTTTCCTAATTATCCTGTTTCTGATTTTTCTTATCATGACACCTTTTTTATTGCCAAGCGTTCGTTAAGCTCAGAGGTTGTTGCATATCAGTTGGACTCCGATGGTGTCCCGAGGGAGGTTCGGGTGTTAGATGAGCTCTGAGGCATATTTTGTCCTCGTTTTGAGGCTGTACAAGACTCCCTCGTGACTCATTTCACGGCCTTATGTGCCTGGTATACCATGGCTTAGGTCCCAAGGAAGAATCGTATACCTCAGAAGACGAAGACACTGATGGCGACGATGGTGCAGGGGGCCGCCCAGAGTCTGCCAGCCCTGTGATGTCTGTACGGGTGGTGTCGTTTTTACTGTCCGTCTCAGATAATCTTGTCCTCTTTGCTAGTGTGGAGGTGGTGGAAACATATGAGCTCAAACAACACAATTGTCCAAGAATGTGCTCGCCTGTTATCAAGCGTGGTGATTTGGCCAAGCATGGGAGGGGGTTTGGAGATCGCGGATGTTTATGAATTCAATACGTATGAATTCAATAGGTTTTTTCTGTTTGAGTTTCACTGTATTCCTTTAATGCAAAGAGGATCAATAAACTTAATTAATTCTTCTTGAGCATAGTAGCAAAATCGAGAGCAATAATGTTTTAGAATTCATACAACCGGCCCCACTTAGTGGGGTTAGGCTTTGTTGTTGAGCATAGTTGCAAATGAAACCAAAACAAACATAAGTCGACGATTCAAATCCATGATTACGTTCACAATTATGATATCATTACGGATTCTAAGATAATTATGATGTGCGTTTTCCTAACGAAGAAAAAAAATGTTCTGCTCTAGAAATTGTAACATTTATACCGAAAACACCTTCAAAAGATTCACCAAGTGTTGTTATTTCTCAATAAACGCAACAACGAATACTGCATAGTTCTTAGCTCACCTTACTAGTTTTTCTCGAATTTTTCATCCTTCTCATTTTGCGCCGGACAACGGGGAGGTCTTGCCTTACAGAAATTTATGTTCTACTTATTCAAGGTTTCTTCCAGCCTCTCAATTGCAGCACCAACACCACTCGTTGCTTCTCTTTGATCTGAATGAGGATGTGCAGCTAGATTCCCTTCATTTGCCTTCTCTACCAGCTTCAAATGTGCCCACCCTGCCACGACATGCATCAACCCATGTAAGCGACATAAGATTGATTAAACTTACATTTGGAAAATTACACGGTTGACTGTATTACCTAGTGGAAAACCTAACACTGCTCCTAGGGTAGCACCTAGCATCACGTTTCTTGCTCGCCAAGCCAATGATCCAGGCACTGATTAAAGTAGAAACCAAATGTTATATAGCGAGAAAACATTGCATTTCATGAATTACTTTGAACATTCTGAAAGGGCCATAAGCATCACTTCAGAAGTCGATGCTTCCGCACATGCCCAATGACTGACAACCACAGTTTACGAAAAGAAACCCGAAGATCAGATATGACTCATACTTATTAGAGCAAATGTAGCAGCAGTGGCTGAACCGGCTCCAACAACATTGAAAACATCATGCTTGCCCCTTTTCTCAGCAAGCAGATTCTGTATACCACAAAAAGTAGCAGTAAACAATCCAAGGCGCACTCCACCAACTATTGAGCCCCGAGTGACACGAATGAACCTTTTCTCCATTGCATCTCTCATGAGACGATATTGTTCACGCTTGTCTGGCGTGCTCCCTAGCTTCAACATTACTTCTGCATCTTTGCTCTGCCAAAACAAAGGCAGAAAGTCCTCACAAGTTTCAATTTTTAAGAAGATTGCGTACGATAATAATCAAACACCTCAGTTCGGAACGTTGTTATTTAAGATACAAACTTACAACTGATGCAGCTGCTTCCTTGCTACCACCATAGAACAAACCTGCAAACACTCCGATGACAGTTGCCGTGCCCCAGTTGACAGTTCCTGCTAGTTTCGGAGAATGCTAGTCCAAAGAAAACAATGCCATATCACTCTAACAGGAATTTCATCAAACATATGGTGGGCAATTTATAATAAAACCAAGTTCCAGAAACGCATAACAAATCATACCCAAGTTCCAAAAACATATAACAAATCAAACCCAAGTTCCAAAAACGTATAACAAATCAAACCCAAATTTCAATTTCTCCAAATTTAAACAAGTGACACTAAATTCATAAACTTACCCAGAAATGAAGGAAATATAAACTAAAAATTAATTGGGCAGGCGTATTTAATTCCAAATTATTCAGTTTTAGAGAATTATCATATAAGAATAGAAAAAATGTTGGAAATTCTGAAGGTCCTCTTTACGTTTGAGACAGTGTCTTCGGATTCCTCCGGAGCTCCCATTTATCAAATAGTATGATCTTCACACGAACCACCCAAAGAGGACCTTCTATGACACTGAGGCGTTTGGTTTCCGAGAAAATTAGAGTTCTTCCTGTCTCCTTGGAGGAGAGAACGGCTGAATACAGTTAAAGTTACTGTTTTTTTTCTGGGCAGCCAAACGGAAAGGTGGGAGGCAACGCGGACGGTGGTACTGATCGCCACCGCCAGATTCTCACTTCCCGCTCAGTCAGGTGGCACGTGGAAAACGATCGACATATATACGACATGTCGTTTGAAATTATACCCTACCATGGCTACGACTTGTCATTCCTTTGGCAAACACTTGGTCTGTGCGTACGACATGTCATTTTTTCGCCAAACACTTGACATGTGTACGATATGTCGGTATTTTACCTATCATTCGTTATGGATTTGACCTGTTGTTTAATAATTCAATTGGACCATACTTTGTTGTTTTATTTTTGTTGCAAAATCAGACTTGTTAGACCATAACGAGCGGACATTTTTGGTTGGCTAAATACTACCCATATTTTCAACATTTGTAAAACATGAATTACGGCAAGTGGTTCAATGAAAATGCGGTAAAATTCTAAGTCAGATTGTTATTTGGTGTTGCATTTGAGACACGGTGCTCACAAAAAAAAACATGAGTGATTCTCTAACTGAAAACTTTGAATAAATGTATTATTTGACTGTCAGTCAGATGCTTGCTTCTTACTTAGTGAAATAGTTGAATATTAGAGTGCGCAACAAACGAGACTAACAAAATAATAGTATTATTAAATGAACGAGAATGCCGAAACGGCTACAAAACTCAAAGATGTTACATTGTGAATGACTTGTTTTTCTACGAGCTACCAAGCATCATATATATAGAGAACTAACCTAACCCTAATAAACAAGAAAATGAAATCCTAATACTAACGGGCTAAACCCAAATTCAAATAACAAAATAATTCTAAATTCCAACACATCCCGTCAAACTCATGGCGGTACACGTCATGAGTTTGCCAACAAGCAGATGCAGATGCAAGCTCCGTTAGGTGAACAAGATAAGACAAGCTCCGTTAAGCGGACCGTCAAACTCATGGCGGTACACGTCATGAGTTTGCCAACAAGCAGATGCAGATGCAAGCTCCGTTAGGCGAACAAGACAAGGCAAGCTCCGTTATGCGGACACGACAAGGCAAGCTCCGTTAGGCGGACACGACAAGGCAAGCGATTCAAGCTAGCAAACGAACAATACAAGTGAACAGGCGAGTGAGTGAGCGAACAAGCAATTCCAACAATCAACAAATTCTGGCAACCAAATGTTGGGAGTGTGGACTCTATCACTAAACGAACTAGATTCCTATATCCCAACTGCAGCAACGAACGAATAAAAAACAAAACTTATCACTTGGGTGGTCACAAGTTCAAGCACTTGAGTGATTGGCAAACAAATTTCATTCTGAATCCAAATCAACCAAGACAAGCCCAACGACAACTTCAATCAACAAGGACCAAAGCTTCAACTCCATTCTCTCTTTCTTCGGTTCATGTTAGCAAACTGGGTGCAAAACAAGTGCAGACCAACATTCTGAACTCAGACTCCAAAATGTGGTTGCAGCCTTTTCAAGTGAGGAAGCAAAAGACAGCAGCGGGGTGGAGGGTTGGTTCAACAAATCTAGTCAGGATGGTTTAGTCCACATAACAACAAATGTGCAGCAGTAGGTCAAGGAACGAATCATCTGGAGGCAGGGATGGCAGCAGGTACAGCAGTGGTGCGAGACAGAGGTGTAGCAGTAGTGTGGTGGATAGGTTAGATCGGCGGGTCGGGTTGGGGTTACAGGCAGCAGTCTGGTGCGGGTTGAAGGCAGTGCGTTGGTGGTGACCTGATGCGGGCAGCTGTGAGTGGCGCAGGTCTGATGCAGGTGCAATATGGGGTGGTGAGTTCATCTTTGCGGATGGAACAGGAACAAACACAACGGTGGGTGACAGCAAGGGCAGCGGCTGGTGGCTCGGTGCGACTCCAGCTTTAAACTTTAACAGATTCTTTTTTCTTTCTTTTTGTAACGACAACGAAATGGTAACTCAAACCAGAAAACGAAAAAAGTTTCACGGATCGAAACTGGACAAAAGCATAGACAAACTGATATGAACAAACAAAAGTAGATTAGATCCAATATAATCAAACCTGTTCTGATACCAAGTTGAATATCAGAGTGCTCAACGAACGAGACTAACAAAATAATAGTATTATTAAATAAACAAGAATGCCGAAACGGCTACAAAACTCCAAGAGACTACATTATGAATGACTTGTTTTTCTACGAGCTTCAAAGTATCATATATATATAGAACTAACCTAACCCTAATAAGCAAGAAAACGAAACTCTAATACTAACGGGCTAAGCCCAAATTCAAATAACAAAACAATCCTAAATTTCAACAGAAATGACACGTGAAAACTACGAAATCAATAATAAGAAATTTGAAAAATGACGTGTCTTTGAATCAAACTTTTATCTATGTCAGTAAAACACGATACCTCTTGCATAAGTGAAAAGCACTAATATAATACTACCATTAGGGAAAACGCCTTCTTTGTCATGGTAATGGACAAGCAAAGACGATGGAACATAAAGCCAACCCCATCGGAATCATTTCGTGCAATTTTATTGCCGTCCCAAGACCCAAAAGCAAACTAAAGCTTCTGCAGGATTTCAATTTTTCAAAAGCATACACTAAAGTTTTAAAAACAAATAATTCTCCAACCGAAAAGAGCAGCAAAACCCATTAGCCATTCACCAAAAGATATTCTGAATACAAATCATCCAAGCAAGGTATCAATATCATCTGCATTTTCCACTAAGTCCCTCATATTACAAACCACAAACCACACAGCTCACTCAAACTCTCTCTCTCTCTCTCTCTCTCTCTCTCTCTCTCTCTCTCTCTCTCACTTGCATCCATGAGTAGCTATAGTACTACTACTATGCTCATAATTCCCAGCTTCCTCCTCTGTGTTTTATTTTCTTCGTTTTTTCCATCAGGTTCGGCCAACACATGCAGATCGTATTGCGGAAACCTCACCGTAGATTACCCGTTCGCCGTCCGCTCCGGCTGCGGGCACCCGGGTTTTCGAGATCTCTTATACTGCATCAACGATGTGCTCATGTTTCACGTAAGCTCGGGATCTTACAGGGTCTTGGACATAGACTACGCTTACCAAGCCCTCACGTTGCATGAACCTCACATGTCAACATGTGACAGCATAGTACTAGGTGCCAAGGGCAATGGCTTCTCCGTCGAGCAATGGCGGGCTCCGTACATGAACCCGACGGCCGACAACGTGTTCATGCTGATCGGCTGCTCGGCTCAGTCGCCGCTCTTTCAAGGCTTTCCGGGGAAGCACTTGCCATGCAGAAACGTTTCGGGAATGAGTTGCGAGGAATACTATGATTGTCCAGCGTGGGATATGTTGGGCCATAGGAGGGTGGGTTCCATGTTTGGTTCGGGTCCACCTGAGTGTTGTGCGGTGCCGTTTGAGGCCATCAAGGCCGTTAATCTCACCAAGCTTCAGTGTGAAGGGTATAGCAGTGCTTACAATCTGGCCCCGCTGAAGCTGGATGGGGCCCATGGGTGGTCGTATGGTATCCGAGTGAAGTACTCTGCTCAAGAAAACGATGAGTTTTGTAGAGCGTGCGAGGCTACCAGTGGCACGTGCGGGTACGGTGCTGATGGCATTAGGCAATTGTGTATGTGTGGGAGCTTCAATTCCACGTCAAATTGTGATTCTGGTTAGACATCCCCATGATTATTCTCCTTTCTATAACTTCTGTATCAAATTTTCACTAGCTAATTTTAACCAAGCGATGTGTATATTTTAAACGAGTCTAATTTACGAGCAGGAGTATTCGTACTCGAGTTCAAGAGACGGTCAAGTCATCCTAGCATGCTCATCCAACCATTTATTAGTGTGCAACTTAATTGATGATCTTTCTGTCTGATGTGCAGTAAAATCAGCATCAACAAGAACATACTCTACGGCAGAAAGTTACACATTCAGAGGTACTTCCTTCCGCTCATTGTTACAGTACAACAACTCGTGTCAAATTTACCAATTTACCGACCTTATAAAGGCGCAAATTAGTTTCGAATGATCTAACTTTGGTGTCTAATCATTTGGGAATTTCTTTTTGCAGGATTACTGGTGTGTCTACTAGCTTATATTACAAAGAAACATTATTGAAATGGATACAGAATTTAGCATATGTATGCAGAGAGAGAGAGAGAGAGAGAGAGAGATGTAAACATATTTTTGAAACTTCTTTGCTTCCATTGTTTCACATATTTATAAAACTACACTTGGTTTTCGAGTTGACAGACGAAGAAAAGTGTTGGAATTCTTTTCAATTCTAGTTAATTTTTCTCTGAAGTATACATGAATTCTAAACAGAAGATTGAAAACAATTCAACATACAACCCTTTGCCTTATTTTGCTCTCTCAACAGCGTCGGCTCAATAGCTCTGACGTCCTCAGTAAATAACCACATCTTTAATCATTGTCTGCAATCGTTAAGCAAAACGAATTAAAGAAAATGATACTTTCAATCACAAACTGAAGATATCAAATGTATGGCCTAACCACTTACATTGGAGAGTGCTACCCATTGATCAAGGATCCTAATAGCTTTCCCTGAAAGTTGTGTTTCCCGAGCCAAAGAAATTCCTTCAGCTAAGGTGTTCACCCGGCCGCTGACCAAGAGAGCTGCTGCAGCGTTTAAGATCTGCCCAATAGTTTTGGTAATGAACAGATTTGTCAAACATAGGAAGAAAGTAACAAAATTGACGCTTTATTGTAACGATTAAGGAACCTTACAAATGCATCTGCAATGGCACCCTTCTCCCCTGACAATACACGCTTTAGTGCATCGGCATTATACTCTGGGCCTCCGCCTCGCAAATCATCAAGGGTGCAGCGAGGAATTCCAAAATCCACTGTATATAATAAAAATTATGAATTGATGAGAACACTGAGTTGAATGAAAAATCATCCAACAAAATATAAGCACAAGAATCAACAGTTGAAAACTAGAGACAAGATTTTCACATGGATCAAAAGAGAACTCCTCGATCTTATTGGGAGTCACATCAAGGATATGCCCGGGTCCTATATTGAAATCAATCACGCGTAAGTGAGGCTTTATGTTAAACTAGAAGCAAAATAATGATGATATTGTATTAGCTCCTACA